TAATGAGTAGTTAAGGTTAAAAATTTATTTTCACCTATGGTTGAAACTGAGTTTAGTTGTTTTCAAAATTTGTTGTTGCAACTATGTAATCCATGCTTATAAAAATTTTAATACTGGACATAATTACTAACGGATAGAATAGTCAAGATATAATTCATAACTTAAGAAACCCAATTTTTCGTTTTCTAAGTAGGTTATGTATGTGTTTAATTAAGAATTAAATTTGGGGTTTTTATAGATTATGAATCTGTGATTGGATCTATTTAAGTTTTATCTAACAACATGATAAAATGCAGAAGGTGAAAATTCAAAAAAGTTATTGTGACAAGGATAGTTAATGAGAAAACTACTATTTGGTCCGTTAGTAGCTTTGTTTAGTGCAAGTTTGTCCTCTTTAGTAAAATTACAAAATAATGGTTGGATATTGAATTCAAGATTGATTGCTATTTAATCCCTCTATCTTTTTCAAGTGTTTAAAATAATCTTCATGAATGATTATGTGATATGGAGCTAGTCAAGTGTTTTTTGTTGAGACCTATGAACTTATATTATCATGTTCTTCTATTGTTTAATGTCTTATCATTTTATTTGAGTTGATCAATTTAAAAGAAAATAAAAACAAATGATTTGGGATTTGGAATCCCAATGTAAGGCAAAGGATTTGACTGGGATTGGGCATCCTACTCTAATAAGGAATTCAATTAAAAAAATGCAAATAGGAGTTGAGGAACAAATATTGTTATTTTACCATTCAAGAAATTACATAATGGTCCAAAAGTTTGACATGGACTTGTTTCTTCCACAATGGGTGAAGGTGTCAACAAAAAACTAGTTACAAGCTATTAGGCAAGTCTAACATAATGCAAGGGTGTCGACACTTAGGTAATTTACAGCAATTGAGTATTGAGAGTTTTTGAACCTTTTGATGTTAATTGTGTATTTTTATTTATACATAATACATATTAGACTTTATGTGAAGAATATCTATTAATATAACCTTATTTAATGATTATATGTGCACAAAAAATATTTATTAGATGGTTTGATTTTATAAATAAAAATAATTGTTTATATAGTATAACAATTTGTTTCATCCATATTAAAGTACATATTAAGTGCACCATATAAAATAAGTGTCAATATTTGGAGGTTAAAGAGATATGATTAGTAGCAAATAAATTATTGAGGACATGTTTTCATGTTTTGGTTTGAAATTGTTTTGTGAATATTATCATGCATATGATATATGCTATGAAACACATCATGGAAATTAAATTTCAGGATTTTGTTAAAGTAATTAGACACAATTGGAAGTACTTGAGTTTTATATATCCATTATTTATATATTGTAATATCCTTGGGTTAAATTTTTTGAAATTGGTTGTTCTACTCATTTGCAAAGTTTTTTTAAGTTTGATTATTAACAAGGAAATTTATCGTCATGGATAAATGAGTAGATAATTAAGAAATTTTAATTCTCATAAATAATTATTTATCTTCATATTTGGTTTAACATATGGGTTTTGGGATATTATGTTTCTTAATAAGAAAATAAAGTGTTCATATTTGGACGTAAAGAATATATTTACAGTTACTAATAAACTATCTATACAAATTAATTATGCATTTGGAGAAACATAACTATTATTTTCTACTAACTCTATGGAAGTTAAGAAAATTTTTAGAGTATATATTAAAGGTGCACTAAAGATTGTTGAGAATTACAGTTTTAATTATTCATCAAGTTGTATAAAGGTAAACTACAATGGTACAAGGTAACTGAGTATAATTTTACTCATGTTGATATTTTATTCAAGATAAAATTATCTATTTTCATATGTGGGTTTTAGCATACGAACTCTATAGTTTGACTACTTAATTTTTAAATCTCTAAAGAGGTTTAGTGGAATAAAGATTGGGTATAACTCATGATATATAATTTAAGGTTAAATCGTTGGGTATATAATAAACTTTGTTCACAATTAATTATCTCCAAGGAATAATTATGCAAGTCTATTATGCATATTAGTGACAGCCTAACTGTGACAATGCATGAAATTTTAAAATCTCAAAGAAAAAAACTTTGATAAAGTTCTAAGAATTTTTGAATTTGTGTATCTTTATTTAAGATACTAATGGAATTTCATATGATTTTCTTTGAGTATTAAAGTAAAGGAATCAAGTAGTATCGAAAGTCTTTCCAGAAGTTTTAAAGTTTCTCTCAATTCATATATTAAAGAACTACCATTATTAAAAAATTATAAAAAATGTGGTTGAGAGGGATTCTAGAATCATATATATATAGAGATGCAAGTCTTAATAATATTTTATGATTAATAAGACTATCAAGAATTTATTTATTAGGATTAATGACTTTTGTTAGTAAAGATTTTAGGATATTAAGAAATTTTGTTCCAGTGGGAGTTTGGTTAATCTTTCAATAAGGATTATAGAATGTTACATTATTTATGAGTAATTGTTCTAGTGAGAGCTTGTGAATTGATGTGAATGGTACTACCAAAGTAGACCATTTATTGAGATTCATAGGTTTCTTAATGAGAATTTTGGAATGTTATATTAGGTAAGTATTTTAGTGGGAGTATGTGAATTGACATGGTTGGTACTGTCAAAGTGGGCCATCTATTAAATTCACATATTTCTCAATAAGGATTTTGGAATGTTTTTTTCTTGAAATCAATATGTATGATTACCTATCCAAAGGGGTCATTGTGCATAGTGACTAAAAGAAGTGTATGTGGTTAGTAAGGATACTTATTTTGGTTTTATAGAGAATTTTTCACCCAAAGAGGATTATTTTCTATGAGACCATTCTTATTAATTCACTTGCAATAAAACTTTTGAAATTTAATAAAGTTTCGTATCCATTAGTTACATTAAATTACTATGTTATTAAAACTAGTTGATCTATTGGGAAGATCAAATATAAACTATTAAAGTTAAGGAATACAATTGCTATTTTCATATTAGTATATGCAATTTTCTGCCCAAAGGTAATTATTATATGTATGAACTTCAAGTAGTTGGAGCAATTAATAAGAATTATAAGCATTTATACAAATTTACTAAAAGGTTAATTTTCCTACTAATTGACTTTTTAAGATTTAATTTTATAGATTTATTTAATCAATATAAAGTGCAAATAAAGTAAAATATAGTTGTTTTTTGAACTCTTATGAGTTAAAGTGAATCATGTTATGAATTAAAATCCATTATATAAAGCTTATAGAAACAAAGGTTTATAATTGAAATTATATTGCCAATGTACAATTGGTGTTAATTTATGTATCTCTTAAGTGATTCATATCTTAATTGCACATGTTTTAATTAAGTTTAGAGATACATGTTTCTTAGCATGGTGAATTTGAATTGTACAACATTACTATTTTGTTATTTAACCAAAAAAAAAAAAAAAAGGCAAAAGGCATTAGTAATTATAATAAGAGTAATGCAAATTTTAAGATCTTATGAAATATTTGTTATTATTTGAGGAAATAACTTTCCCTGATTAGAAGACATTTAAAAGGCTATGATGGAATAATGTGTCTAGAAAATCAATAAGAGTTAAACGATTTATTACTCTCAATTACTCAATATATAATGATAAGATTATGGACATGAGAAATTTGATTAGTTGCAATGGAGAGACTCTTAGACATGCGTTATGAATTATATGAAAATAGTTCTTGGAAAAGATGCAATTGTTTTTATTAAAGTTGACAAAGTCTTGTCATTCTTGTGCTTTTGTGTTAATTTGATTAAAATTTTAAAGATCATATTATTTTGGGTAATGGACAATAGATGTTTGTTTCCATTAAGATATTTTATATTTGATGATGTTAGTTATCTATATAGATAACTTGTTGATAGAATTTGGTGAAAAAGATATATCAAAGGTAATTTATTGATTTACCTTATAAAGTAAGAGTGACATAAAGGTGAAATTATGAATGATGATTATAGTCATGTCTTATTGTAACTATATTAATTAATTTATTGATCAAGAGATTATAATTTTGTTAGTTATCTATGAGAATTGTTTTATATGTTCTTGATCAATGGGAGAAGTTGATTTTTCTATTAATAATAAGTTTTATTTTGCTTATTATATCATTTGTTATTTTATAATGATGCATGTGCATTGTATTGATGATTTTTATGAGCTCATACAAATATTGATAATGAAATCTAGAGGTATAAAGCATAAAGGTTTCTTCAAAAGTGTACAAACTTCTTTTGAAATATAAAGGCTTTTCTAAAAAAGTGAAGGAGCTTATCTTTTAGGTTTCTATGAAATCAAAATAAAGTTTAAAGCTTTCTTTAGAGAAGTGTAAAAGGGATTACACCCTAATAAAGGGTTTATTTGAAACCATAAAGAGGACCGTTATGGTTTTGACATGTTATATATATTATATGGATCATGTTGTATCAAATTACATTTCACTGTATCACACCTATTGGAATTAATGTTGGTGAAAATATTAGATGCTTGTGATTATAAGGGGTCTTGTGTTATTAGTGACATAATGATCGCACAGTTTGGTATTGATATTTTCATTGAAAGGAATTCTATGCTAAGATTTAGATTTTAATTTGTGGCTACTAAAGTTATGTTTGACCCAAGAGTCATTTTTTTTTTTAATGTGTTTTTAAAATTTAAAACAAATTAGCATTGCCCAAGTGGGAAAATGTTGGAAAATTTTATGCAAGCTTATGCTAATTGTATTTGGTTTTCAAAATTAGGTTAAATGGAAAACTGATAAGGCCCAATAAAATTATGTGATATGCAATATCCCAAAATTTTCTAAGACCTTAGAATTTAAGTTAGGGACTTATGTGGGAGAAACTATCTTCTGCAAGGCCTAATGGTCACAAATTTCAAACTTAAGGGGGTGGAGTTAAAAAAAAGGATGGGGGCCGGGTTTCAGGAGCATAAGTTCCCCGATTCCCCCATTTTTCTTCTTATTTTGAAACCCTAACTCATCCCCCGCCATCCTCAGTTTGTCACCACCATCCTCCATCCTTCACCAACTCTCGTCACCAATCTTGCTCCTCCAAATCCTCACACCCACATCTCATAAATCCCTTAAGTAGCAACTCAATGCTCCCCACTCCACTACAGTCACATGTTGCCTTCAACAACACCTTGGGTTTC